GGGGGGGTGGGCGCGCCTCATCGGTGACGCATGGGAATTGTCCTGGTTTCCGTGGAGACGGCAGCAGGGAGCGGGTGAGGGAGCAAGCGGTCTGGCCGGACGGATCGAGGCCGGCCAGACGGCCTTCGTCCCGCCCCGACTTTGTCCCGCCGTTGGCTGGCGACCAGTTGAGGGTGTACCCCGCCTACAGCCCCGCGACAGCCGGGAAAGAGGCTCCGGCACGCTTGCGACCCTCCTGAGGGGAAGCCGCTTGGGTAACGGATGGAGAAGTGTCTGTCCTGTACTCCTCAAGAACGGCCCCCCCGCGAATGTCGTCCGGTGAAATGAATTGCACTGGGAGTTTTTCCTACGGCCTCACCGTCTTTTTTTTCTCTTCTCTATTTTGGCACGCAGGATTTCCAGCTGTCTCTCATCGAGCGGCGCATCATGGAGGAGATTGAGCTGAGCATCCTGAGGATCACTTACGAAGAGCTGCTGGCGGAGGACGGCGAGCGGACGGAGATTTGCGCAGACCGCGAGGCCATGGCGCCCACCTTTGACACGCTGGTGAAGAACTACCGCATCGCGGAGGGAATGGGCGTCACCTTCCACTGCAGGATGCTCGGAGTGCCGGCGCCCAAGGTGAGCGACCCCAAGACATTTTTCTGCGGTCCGCTTGGATCGCAAACTTCAACCTGAGGAGCGAGAGAGTTCCTAAAAAGTTGCACTCAAGAAATCCCTTTGATTCGGGAGCAGGCAATGAAGAATGATTGCGATACGTTGGCGGTCATTCCGACTTCCTTCCTCGAATGAGCAAGATTTGCCAGAAAAAAAAAATTGGCCAAAATCCTCAGTCTGCTTTGGTGTGGCCAGTTCGGCATGGGTCCACCGTTGGGAAAATTTGCTAAATGGGATGATGGCTTGGCTGAACTGGCGTTTATTGTGGCCCAGAAGCGTCCTATTGGGGTTTTTGCCAATGAAAATTGGGGTCGGAAAAAACAAAACTGCTCTCAAAAACCAGTTGGGAAAAAAACACATTTTCAAGGGTTTCCGTTGACCAAAATGTCCAAGTTGATGTCAGCGGTCTGTTGCCGATGTTTTTAAAAAGTGGAAGTTGGAAATGGCAAAACTGGACTCTGTGCTCACGTGAGCACAGATTAAAAATAAGCAAGCGAGGTGGACACGAGCGTCGATCGCAGATCCCTCGGGCACAGCGCCTCAACCACTGCGGATACGGAACCAAAGGTGCTTTTGACAGATGGCCTGGTTCAAAGACGGTCAGCGCATCGGCGCCGGCGGGCGCTACCAGCAGGAAGTTCTTCCGGACGGACGCGCCATCCTGCGACTGGCCGCCGTTCTCCCCGAGGACGAGGGCGTGTACAGCGCCTTGGCCAGCAACGTGAAGGGAAACGCCGTCAGCTCCGGGAAGCTCTACGTGGAACCTTCCGGAAGCGCGTCGCCCCACGCGTACGCGGCGCGGCAGCCGGCCGCGCGGAGGATCCGGTAAGCCTTTTCGGACGGACGGAAATCTGAAAAGGGAGCGGGCGTTGCGGCGTTGTTGGGGCCTGAACGCACGCGCGAGCTTTCAACGGCGTCTCGTTGCGGTGTTGCTCGTTGTTGCTGTTAAGGTCCACGTCGCCTCGGTCACCGAGCCACTCGCCGGACCCTCCCCTCAGTCGCTCTCCCAGTCCTTCTCCCGGACCTTCTCTGGCCCGAAGGCTCGTCGATACGGACGCGGCTCAGCTGGACAGACTCTACAAGCCCGTTTTCGTCGTGAAGCCCGTCTCGTGTCAGTGCTCCGAAGGGCAAACCGCCAGATTTGACCTGAAGGTGGTCGGCAGACCCATGCCCGACACGTACTGGTTCCACAACGGTGAGTCATAGGCTCTTCCCGTCAAACGCTCGCTGTCGCGCTTGTCGGTCTTGTCTGATGACGACGTCTTGGACTTGACGCGTGCGCGCGCGTGTGCTCTGTTGCGCAGGACAACCGGTGGCCAGCGATCAAAGCCACAAGATTGTGATTAAAGAGGACGGTACTCAGTCCCTGATCGTCACCCCGGCCATGCCGCGTGACTCGGGCGAGTGGACGGTGGTCTCTCAGAACAGGGCCGGACGCTCATCCATCTCAGTCACGCTCGCCGTCGATGGTAAACAGAAGAGCTCGTCTCTTCCTCCTTTTGGATGTCGTCGACGCTTCAGTGTTTTTTGTTTTCCAGCCAAAGAAAGTTTGCTGCGCCCGCAGTTCACGGACAGGCTGAGGAACATCAGCGTGAAACAAGGAACTTTGGTGCAACTGGCCGTCAGAGCCATCGGGAACCCCTTGCCGGAAATTGTCTGGCTCAAAGACAGCGACATTGTCACGCCTCGCAAGCATCCGCACATCGAGTAGGTTCGACCTTACTCCCTGAAAACTGTTTTGTTGCTGTGCTCTCCATTGTAAACCCCCCCGAACATCTAGACGCCTCACGAAAACTTTGGGCTTTGGAGTGTCAGTTCACTCAAAGGCACGATAACAGGAAGTTTGCCCTTTTCCTCCGCGCTCCCAAACAGCGAGACGTGCAAAAGGTATTCACGTATTCAACAGCTGACCGTGTTCTATTAAGAAAGTTTGCACAAGGTCAGACTTAAGTTGAGCAAACAATCAGTTCATCCCAAAGTCGCGGGCTCCAAGACCCGAGGATCCAAGCGGCTCGCCGTCACTCAGCGCGACTTTCCCGAGTAACGCAAAGGAAAAAAAAAACTCGGCTTGACCTGACAATTGTGTTCCAGGATCGAAGGAACCAGAGGAGAAGCGACGTTCCGGATCCCGTCGGCGTCAGCTTCAGACAGCGCCTGGTACACGGCCACGGCCATCAACAAAGCCGGCCGGGACACCGCCCGCTGCAGAGTCAACGTGGAGACGGACTACCCCGAGCCGCAGCCCGAGAGGAAGCTGATCATCACCAAAGGGACCTACAAGGCCAAAGAGATCGCCGCCCCCGAGCTGGAGCCCCTGCACCTCCGCTACGGCCAGGAGCAGTGGGAGGAGGGAGACCTTTACGACAAAGAGAAGCAGCAGAAGCCGCAATTCAAGAAGAAGCTGACGTCCGTCCGGATGAAGAAGTTCGGCCCCGCTCACTTTGAGTGCAGGCTGACCCCCATCGGCGACCCCACCATGGCGGTGGAGTGGCTCCACGACGGCAAGCCCCTGGAGGCCGCCAACCGCCTGCGCATGGTCAACGAATTTGGCTACTGCAGTCTGGACTACGAGGTGGCGTACGCGCGCGACAGCGGCGTCATCACCTGCAGGGCCAGCAACAAGTTCGGAGCGGACCAGAATTCGGCCACCCTCATCGTCAAGGACGAGAAGGGCCTGGTGGAGGAGAGCCAGCTGCCCGAAGGAAGGATCGGCGCGCACAGGATGGAGGAGATGGAGCGCGTGGCCCACGAGGGCGCGCCCGCGGGCGTGGCCGCCGACGAGCGCGCCGAAAAGACCAAACCGGACATCGTCCTCCTCCCGGAGCCGACCCGGGTGCTGGAAGGCGACGTCGCCCGATTCCGCTGCAGAGTGACCGGTTACCCCGCGCCCAAGGTCAACTGGTACCTCAACGGACAGCTCATCCGCAAGAGCAAGCGCTACCGACTGCGCTACGACGGCATCTACTACCTGGAGATCGTGGACGTCAAGTCCTACGACACGGGCGAGGTCAGGGTGGTTGCGGACAACAACCTCGGCTCCACCGAGCACACCGTTAAGCTGGAGATCGAGCAGAGGGAGGACTTCAGGACGCACCTTCGTCGGGTCCCTGAGCCCAAAGCGACCGAGACTCTGCCGGAACCGGGAAGGATGCCCTTTGAGGTGGTGAAAGTGGAGCGAGACTCGGATGACGGTCGGCAGAGAGAGATCGTCAAGTTGAAGAAAGCCCAGAGGATTATTCACGCAAAAGCCACCGAGGAGTCGGAGGAGCTGAGAAGCAAGTTCAAGCGCCGCACGGAAGAGGGCTATTTCGAGTCCATCACGGCCGTGGAACTCAAGTCTCGCAAGCGAGACGAATCCTATGAGGATCTTCTGAGGAAGACAAAGGAAGACCTCCTTCATCGAGCCGCGGAGAAGGAGGAGGAAGAGAGGAAGAAAGAGGAAGAGCGAGGCCGGCTCGCCGCCAAGCCACTCAAACCGGAAAGGGTCAAGCTCTCGGCGAGCATGGAAGCTCCCAAAATCCTGGAGCGCATCTCCAGTCAGACGGCGGCGCGAGGGGACGAGGTCAAGTTCAGGGTCCGGGTCGTCGGCAAACCGGAGCCCGAGTGCCAGTGGTTCAAGAACGGCGTTCAACTGGAGAAGAGCGAGCGGCTTTATTGGTTCTGGCCCGAAGACCATTTGTGCGAGCTGGTCATCCGAGACGTCACCCCGGAAGACTCGGCCAGCGTCATGGTCAAAGCCGTCAACTCTGCCGGCGAGACCTCCAGCCACGCTTTCCTCCTGGTGCAAGGTAATGCCGCCTCGACCTCCGCCGCCCGCCGCTCCGCTTGCCTGATGCTGCGTCGTCAGGAGCTGAATGAACAGTCCCCGTTTTGGGTGCCTCGTTTCCGCAATATGTTGGAATGGAAGTGCAGAGCGTCGCCGCCCGATGGGGCCAAATGGCTTTTGTCAAAAATGGTCTCCCGCGAGCGGAAAGGATCCCGTTCTTCTCTGTCGGCTTTCGCGACGGCCGCCGTCGCGGTTCCGCCCGCTTTGCGCCTGCCTTTCCGACCGCAAAGACATTAAATCAGCCGCCGGCGCGCCGCGCCTCAGGCTCGACATAAATCGCATCGCGCGCGCCGCAAAGTAAATTGATGGCTTTGTACGCTCGGTCCGTGTCGCGCGATGACGCAAAGCTTCTGTTTTGGGCGGCGCAGCAAAACAAGTCGTCGCCTTCACGCAGAAGTTGGACGACATCAACGCCAAGGAGAAAGACACCATGGCCACCTTTGAGTGCGAAACCAACGAACCCTTCGTCAAGGTCAAATGGTTGAAGGACAACTGCGAGATCGTCTCCGGAGACAAGTACAGGATGCACTCGGACCGGAAAGCCCACATGCTGTCCGTGCTCATGCTGGAAACGCGAGACGACGGCGAATATTCCTGCGTGGTCGTCGACGACCAACTGGTCAGAACCAGCGGCAAGCTGAACGTGGAAGGTGGGTTGCCTCGCCGACAGACACGGCGAGCGGACGCCTTTTGCATTGTTTTGCATCGGCGATGCGGGAGCGGATCTTGGCATGGGACCAGACTGAAAAAAGCGAGGCGTTGCGAGTCGTCAGCGCTAAGCGCGGATGGTTTGCTGCGCCCTCGCGGCGGGTCTCGCGTTGTCCCGTGAAAAGAGAGAATGGCGCGATTTCCAAAAATGTGAGCCGTGAGCTTCTTGTTGCGCGCTCGCACCGAGCTAGATAAGTGAATGCAACGCGATCTGACGTGGGCCCGACAGGAGCCCCGCTGGAGATCCTGAAAGCCCTCGAGAACGCGGAGGTGCCCGAGACCTACTCCGGAGAGTTCGAGTGCGAGGTTTCCCGCGAGGATGCCGAGGGGGCCTGGTTCTTCGGGGCCCGGCGGCTGTCCTCCAGCAACAAGCACGTCATCTCGTCACGGCGCGGACGCCACAGCCTGTCGGTCAAAGACGTCAACAAGGCCGACCAGGGACAATACTCCTTCGCCGTGGGTGATTTGAAGATGCACGCTTCCCTCAAGATGAAATGTGAGTCCGGGAGATTTTCCTTTCCGACCGGTACGCACCCACGGTGTTCTCGAGCGCCTCACACAATCAGTCAGTGTTTTCGGGAAAGGGCTGTTAACTCCGGAACGTTTGGATTGATCTTGATGTTATTCGTCGGCGTAAACGAATGCGCCGTACTTTGCTTCCTCTGAGACGTTTCCCGTTTCAGACCGCCCGGTGACCCTGCTGCAGCCTCTCGCCGATTTGACCGTCTGCGAGGGGGACGTTGCTCAGATGGAGGTCAAGTTTTCCCAAGGGAACGTCGAAGGCGCCTGGACGAAGGACGGCCAAGCCGTGGCCGTTTCGGACCGCGTGCGCGTGGTTATCGACAAACAGATCCACAGACTCGTCATCGAGGACGCCGGGGAGGACGACTTTGGCGTCTACTCCTTTGAAGTTCCTACTCAGGGGATCTCCACCGCCGCCAAGCTGACCATCCGCAGTAAGTAACGTGCCGGATTGGCCGCCGTTCTTCACGCGCTTTGCCTAATCACGCGCCGCCGGCGTCTCGCATCGCAGCGATCGGGATCCTCATCCCGCTGAAGGACACGAGCGCGGTCGAAGGCACCAAGACCGTTCTGGAGGCCAAAATCTCGGCTCAGGACATCAGCTCGGTCACGTGGTACCACGATGGCGAACGGATGACGCCCGGCGACCGGGTCCAGATGGTGGCCAAGGGAGCCAAGCAGCGCCTCGTCTTCAGTCGGACCTTTGCCTCGGACGAAGGTCGCTACAAGCTGGCGGTCGGCCGGGCCGACACCGGCTGCGGATTGTCCGTGCAGAGTAAGTCGCGCGAAACGGGCTCACGCTCGTCGACGGACTGCTTTTGACTCTCGTTCTTCGCGAGGCGGGTCGAAACGTCACGACGTCGATTCGGGCATTGACGTAGATTGGCCATTCGTATTCAAGACTTCCCTCGTTGATTTTCGACAAATTGACGCTTGCTCCCCCTCTGTCGGGCCTGCCGTTACTTTGGCTCTGAATTCAAGTGAAGCGAGCATACCCGTCATGCAATCCATCTTTATTTCGATTGCGCTTTCACAACAGCTTCAGCGGGAACAAAGCGCTTTACAGAACAGTTAACATAAAAGAACAAAATAATCAAACGCATCACATTAGACGCGGACAGTCGTGCAATCTTCACCGCTTTTCCCTCATCACTTGTTGTCATTTGAAGCAGTTCTTGAGGAAAGAGGAGAGAATCCCCAAGTGTCCTTTCACCAGTGGGTCACAGACGTCATGCTGAAAATGCGCACACGTCTCGTGTCCCATGTCAATCCGCTTCAATTCCAAGCGGCGACTCCCAGTTCCAAATACGCACCGACGCTCCTCTCTCCTCGTCGGCTCCGCGAGCCATCCGTCCATCCAGCCGCGGACCGTCCAACAGCGCCGACGTTTCCGCCGACCGAAACGGGCCTGTGAAAAATGCGGCCATGACAAGCGCCCCGGGCTGCGATCGCTAAATCGAGATGCGGGCCTTGACCGATGCAACAAATCGTTGAGGAAGAGGAGCCGCTGCCGAAAGGGCGTGATCGGTCGGATCTCTTGTTTCTGCTCAAGGTTGTTCAGTTGAGAAATGAACCGAGTTCAACTAGGACTGGCGCTCAAGAAATTAGGCGTTAAGATCCTGGGCGTGTCGTCTTCCGTTACTGCAGAGTAGGGAAACGGGAGGTTTTAACCGGTCCGGGGCTGTCATCGAGGCTAAGATATGAGGCGGACTGCCCCGATGGAGGTCAAGGCCGTTTCGGGTCAACCACTGCTTCTTTTGCGCACACACAGAGACAAACACCGCCGGCAATACGATACAATGGAGCGACCGTTTGGAAATCTCCCGAAATTCCCGACGGCTCACATTTCGCCGTGGCTTAGCGGAGATCCCCCGGGGGACCTTCGCCGCTTCTTCCCAATATGATGCGTCCCTTCCGGTCACGCTCGCCGCTGCCGAGCCTGCGAGCTGAAGGCGACCGGCTGGCCAAGTCCAAAGCCTAGCCCGTCTCTTGCCCAAAGCCGGCCGCGATCGGCCCCGTCTCGCACGTGTGACCCCGAGGCGGAGAAGCGGCATCGAAAATGCACGGACGATAGTCATCTCGCCGCTCCGGACTGTTTTGTGTGCGCAGCTGTCCAGATCGTGAGCGGGATGAAGGACGAGACGTGCGCGGAGTCGGAGAACGTGACTTTTGAAGTGGAAGTGTCTCACCCCGGCATCGACGCCTTCTGGACTTTCAAGGGGCGGCCGCTCAAAGCGGGAGGCAAATTCAAGATGGAGTCCAAAAGCACATCGCACACTCTGACCGTCCTCAATGCCACCAAGGACGAAGAGGGCGAATTCACCTTTGCCGCCGGCGAGAAGACGTGCGCCGCTTTGCTCACCGTCTCAGGTATGACCGATGCGCGCGGGAGCCGGCTTCGGTCAAGGGGCGGCCGCTCAAAGCGGGAGGCAAATTCAAGATGGAGTCCAAAAGCACATCGCACACTCTGACCGTCCTCAATGCCACCAAGGACGAAGAGGGCGAATTCACCTTTGCCGCCGGCGAGAAGACGTGCGCCGCTTTGCTCACCGTCTCAGGTATGACCGATGCGCGCGGGAGCCGGCTTCGGTTGGCGTTTCGCACGTCCGCGCGCGGCAGAAGTTGGGGTGCCGGAGCTGACGTCATCTCCTGCCACCAGGAGGCGCCATCAAGAAGCCTCTTC